TAAACCACTTTGAGCCTCGTCTAACGATAGACCCTTCATTTTTTTTCAACCTACATTTACCTAACCTTGGGATGGGATGGTGTGCAACTTATGCAATTCTAAAAAGAGCTTGAGTGATTTCAAAAAATAAAATAGCAAAAAAATAAATAAAAGTGTACATAAGGGCAAGTGTTCCAATGTCTTTGATATGAAAATATCTTCGATAAGAACACGTCTCAGATTGCGTCTCTTATCGAGTGCTCGGTACCGTGCCTGAGAAACATGAATGCCAAGTGAGTGATAGACCGCATGATTGAGATTTCCCACACTTGCAAAAATAAAATAGATGCTAAAGCAAAAGATAAAAGTGAGCTAAAAAAGAGTAGAAACTCAAGCATAAAAATATAAAGATTCAAAAAGCGAGGTTGCACACTTTGGGGGCTTATCTAGGGTCTTGAGCCTTTGTCCCCTTCTTCTTCAAACCTTTAGCCTAACCACGTTACAACCCTTAAAAAGACCTTTTTGAGGTATACACACTTGTGCGAGGTTCGGCTAGAGCTACGTTCGGCCTGATTCCTAACGGATACGTAGGCAACCTCACATCGAGGTGCGGCCGTAATAAACATGCATTCATATTCACATTCACAAACTTACACCATGATCATATCAAGGGATCTCCAATGTTCATCCCTATTCACTTAGAGCTAGACTTGGGGGCTTGATCCTTACATCATTAGCTTACCTAGTCTAAGAGTCACCACCATTTGACTCTTTTAACAAATAATAATATTTTCTCCACACACTTAGCTCTTGCGGCCTAGCTTTAGTGTCACTTTCACACACTGCACAGATACATGACCAAATATACTTCCCTTTAGGAACCCTTTGTCATGGAATCTTAACACAACTCTGAAGCATGCCTTGTCATATCAACATCACTCATCAATCATAATCATCATTGCATCACGAAGTATGAAGTGCTTAGCCTCCGTGCCTAAGTTACCCAAATACTTTCATCATTGAGTCAACCATTGAGATAGCCTAGGATGAATTAATCCTTGCACCTTGAGAGATAGCATCAAACGACATTTGACAAAGCTCATTCAACATGCATCTCCAAACTTCGATTCTTTTTCGCGTCTTTCTTTTTCGGGAGAAAGTCGGTACCCTCCACAAAAATGATGGAAAATTTTTTGTCGCATAATCAACACTATGCACACACGGGTCACGAGTCACACGTGTCATTTCAGTTTGAGTCGAGTCAACCTCGAGTCAGTCAATCACAGAGAGTCAATTTTATACCTTGAGTCGTGTCAAGTCAATGAGTCAAGCAATGCTAAACCTGAGGTCAACCCTAAGATAATTAAAGAGATTGGCAAAGTTCTATAGTCAAAATAAATACAGGTGCAGCAGAACAGGGAAGACCCTACTCCAGCGCCTGGCGCCAGAGATATCTCAGCAGCGACAGAGCTCGAAGCCTCTCAGAAAGGTGATTTTGACCTCATACAACAATTTCGGGTTCCTTGGTACTCTAGTTAGCCCCTATAAGCAATTTGACATGATTGAGTAGTCGATTTGATTACAGTCTAAGTGATTGACCTGACGAAAGATCGTCTCACTTAGCTTAAGCGCCTAAGTATTGGCTCATTACAAGCACCAAAGCATCGGTTCAAAAGCAAGCACTTAAACGACAATATTTCCAAATATGGATTGTCGCACATTCTTATTAAATGACAAAGTTTTCAAAAAATTGGATTGTCACCCCCAACTGACAATATTTCCAAAAATGGATTGTCGTGCATCTTCTTCAACGACAATTTTTCCAAGATTGGAGTGTCATCTCTGGCAAAGTTTCCAAGCGTGGATTGTCGTGCTCCTTCTTTATTGGCAAGTTTTTCCAAGTTCGGATTGTCATACATTCATAGATCGCTGGCAAGTTTTCCGAGATTGGATTGTCATACACCCAGTTCCCTATGGCAAAATTTCCCAAAGGATTATTGTAGGTCTCTATTCATCATAAATTTCGGCAAAGGTTCCTCAACGTGGATTGTCATTCATTTCAGCAAATGGCAAATTTTCCCGAAGTGGATTGTCAGTCGACTCTTTCTTGCAAATGTTCCAAGACGCGGATTGTCAATTGTGGAAATATTTTCCTAAAAGGATTGTCGCATAGCGTTGGTAAATTTCCAATGTGGATTGCTTTCAAGAGTTATATTCCAAGATGTGGATTGTCGATCGTAGCAAAGTTCTTATGAAAGATTGTTACGAAGCATTGGCAACTTTTCCAAAGATTGGATTTTTGACAAATTTTCCGAGATACGGATTGTCTCTTCATCGTGGCAACATTTCCAAGGATGGAGTGTTACGAAGAATTGATAACTTTCCCTAAATTGGATTGTCATACATCATACAAGAGTTGTGTTGGCAACTATTCCCAAAGAAAAGAGGATTGTCATCACAACAAAAGAGCACCGACATACAGGTTCAAAGCAACGGAAGCGCCGACGTACAGGCATAGCGGAAGCAAAGTTCAGGCGAACTTTTAAAGATCGACAGGCGTGGATCTTCGATAATTTCCTTCGGAAAATTATCGCATCAAATGAGGATGACTTCAAGAGAAGATATCTTCGACAACGTTCCCTAGCTTGCGGAGAGTTGTCACAAACAGCTGGAGGTTGTTTCAAGAGAAATAATCTTCGATGGTATTCCCTAGGATGTGGAATATTATCAATGCGGGGAGGATCGTTTCAGGCGAAGCAATCTTCTAATTTGGAAGCAGTTACAGGCGTAGCGGTTTTCAAGCGGGATGGCACTCTCTAGCTTTCAGAAGGTCATCAAAACAGCAAAAACAACAAGGATGCAGCAACAATCGGTTACTTTCAGAGACGTGTGCTCGACGGTGCAAGATACGCGTTTCTTGACTCTTTTATCTGTTTAACTAACGCTAGTTTTGTAGGTATCGACGTTACAAGATTGATTTAGGATCGCAGAATGTTCTGAATCATTCTCCGTCCCTATCGCTACTTTGACTTTTGTTTTCGAAACTTGCGTTTCTCCAAACTCAGTCAAAGTAGGGGCTTCTGCAGACACCCATTTGTGTCTCCCCAAAACCAAACCCAGTGATGAGTACCTTTCACGTCGAATCATAATCGAATGAAACGAAAGTGTGGAAAGGTCTAGTGTTGCGGATAGTTTTTATTTCTTTTCTCTTCTCTCTGTTTTTGAAAACTTATTTTAAGAAAACAGCCAATCCAGTTTGGTTGGTCCATGATATGGGTCCAATAGTAGTGTAGTTGTATGGGACTTGCAAAGACCTTTTCAATGATATATTATAGGCCCAATTCCGATGAATATTGAGGAAGTTATGGCCAATTTACCAAATTGAGCCCGGTTTGAGCTTTATGTATGGCCCAATGATCTAAGGGAGGGCCTAATATGATTTATCATTCCTAATGCAATTAGGAATGGTTTTAGTCTTCTAGATTCTTCTAGAAGGTTCCTTTCATTCCTAATTCAATTAGCATTGATAAATTGACTTTTGTTGACTTCTCAGAGTTTTAATCAAAATCAAATAGCATTTTTGAGGAAATTATATTATTTTATCCTCCAGTACGGTAAACTTATCGGATTTTCGAAAACGCGTTGGAATCAGGCTTGGCGCCTAACCCCAGGCCTTGGCGCATGGAACCAGGCCTGGCGCCTGGCGCTAGCCATTGGCGCCTGGCACAAGCTAGCCTGGGTTGGCGCCAGCCCTGTTTTCTGAGCGTCAGACTCTGTTTTGTTTAATTTATCTTTTTGGCTGATTTTCTCTATAAATATCGTATTAAAAACTCCGTTTTCTTCACCAACATTCACCAATTATCATCATCTACATTCATTCACCAATTGATTTCATTCATCTCTCTTAAACATTCAATTCTTTCTTACTTTGCTTTTTACATACAAAATTCCGCATTCACAAGATCTAGAAACACCTAGCCATATTCGAAGTTGCCTTCTCCCTAGACGTGAAAGGTTTAATTTATGAGGGTTTGGTCCCAAATCTCTCTTTCAATTATTTAATTTAATTGTTTGTTTATTATTTTCCTTGAAGTTACTAACGCGTGTATTTTGTTATTAGAAAGAGGTACGAGGCATCAAAGTAAGTACTTTATGGTTTTAATTGATGTGATGATGTAGAAATCATGTTTATATTGTTGTTATGATATTCCTAGTATCATGTCTAGGGTGATTTTAATATTAAATATGATTGTTGTGGTGCTTCCTATTCTCTTCCTAATATTTATGATTGTTAGTATCATGTTAGGGTTAAAGATTTGATTTTTATTGCTTAGTGACATGCTAGAGTTTGTTATTAATCTTGTTAGTATCATGCCTAGGATCTTGCTATGTTTATTATGCTTTAATATTAACATGAACATGATTATTATTATAATTTATGATTATGATGATTATGAATATTATTATTATTATTTTGATGATGATTATTTTATTTATAATTATTATTATGATGATTATTTATTATTGTTGCTTGATAACATCCTTTATGAATGTTTAAAGGGAATCTATACTTGTAATCACGCTTAATAAGATAATTAATAATCTTGTTAGGGTTAATATGATTATAATTCAAGTGATCGCCAATAATAGATTTATTTGTGCATTATATTCAACCAAAATAGATAAACAGGTTTAGGGTTAATCCTAATGATTGCATGTTAATTAAGAAGCGCACATGAATACGAGCAGAATAAAGTAGAGGCCTATTATTAGGGCAGGTTCAATCTCTTTTAGGTTGGATTTGTACCATCATCCCCGAACCCTTATTTGGTTCTAGACCTTGTGGAGTTGACGATCTCTTGGATCGTTAAGGGGTGTAAACCTTCACCTCGTGAACGGTTTACAAGTTCCTAAAAAACTTGTTGGCGACTCTTTTGCTCTATCTTATTCCCTTTTGGACGCCACCGTACTTTAGTGTATGATCACAATGGGGTTCAAGCTAGTGGGATTAACGCTTGAAATTATTCCCTACACATGGCATTTACAATATCTTGCTCCTTTATTTGCAAAGCAATACACAAATCATTAGTGTAACTAAAAATAGTCAACATCAAGTAAGCAACAAAAATAAAATCAAATGACTCTAATTGTCCTAAAACAATTTGAGCTTTAAACTTATCTTCCGATGCACCATGTTTCCCAATGTGAACAAGTAACTTAACAATTATAGAAAACAAGCGGATGACATTTACAAGACACTTGTAATGGGATCCCCAACAAGTATCTTCGGGCCTCTTCAAACCCAGCTCTTGATTCAAACCCGATCCACTCAAAATTTCCCCCACTTCCAATGCTTGAGCAACTTCTTGAGCTTGACTATTACGAATCATTTCTCTTCTTTTGCAAGAAACTCCAACAACATTCAACAAGTTTGCAAGTATTTCAAAAAGCCAACCACAACTATCATTTCTTTTAGTAACGACAACTAGTGATAGTTGAAGTTGATGAGCAAAACAATGTATATAGTAGGCTCTTGGAGTATCATTCATAATCAAAGTCTTAAGGCCATTTATTTCACCCTTCATATTAATAGCCCCATCATACCCTTTCCCTCTAATCATAGATAGGCTCAATGAATATTCCACAAGTAGTGACATAATTGCATCTTTAAGAGATAAAGCGGTAGTATCACCAACATGAACAATGCCTAAAAATCTCTCCATTACCTTTCCACTATTTCTATCAACAAAGCGCAAAACAAGAGCTAGTTGCTCTTTTTGGGACACGTCACTTGACTCATCGGCCAATATAGAAAAGTAATCATCACCAAGCTCTTCAATTATGCACTTAGTCGTTTCTTTTGCACAACAATTAATAATGTCTTTTTGGATCGGGGGAGAAGTCATTTGACAATTTCCGGGTGCATTTTCAAGAGTATGATCATCTACTTCCTTAACCTCTTCTCCTAACCATTTCAATAGCTCAATGAAATTACCCCTATTATGAGACTCATCACTTTCATCATGGCCACGAAATGTCAAACCTTGTCCCAAAAGAAACCTTAAACAAGTTAAAGATGCATTCAAACGAATATAATATTCATTTTTAATTACCTCACTTGCCTTTTCAAAAATATTCACAATTGATTTATTTTTCCCATCTTTTAAATTCACATACTTCTCATACGCAAGATTATGAGCACTCTTAATTCCACCAACATGCTTCTCAAATCGTTCCGGTTTATTCCATTTCCTAAACCCTCCATCAACAAATGCATCACCTCCTATATTATTTTCAACTTCACCTTTGAACAAATAACATACAAAACAAAATGCGGCATCTTTTTCAATGCTATACTCAAGCCAATCCCATTTGTTGAACCAATTCACACTAAAACGACGCAAACCTCCTACTTGTCTTTGAGGGAAGTTGTGAGTTTTTGGTTGACAAGGTTTTTTTAGAATATAAGCTCTCCTTACCGCATTTCTTCGATTTGGGGGATAATTCATTATATTCATTTTTTTTCCCGGATCATGGGGAAGTAGTTCAACATCATATATCAATTCTTCCTCCTCCAGTGGTACATTACTAGTACTTGTACCACCACCATTTTCTACAACATTTTCTTGAGTTTCAGGGGAGGTAAATGAAGTGGGTTCATTTCCTTGAGATTTCATTCTTGTAAACATAAATTGTCGAAGATCGGGTTGTTTTGACATGGCCTAATTTAATCAATAAGAATGTAAACAATGAATCAATAATAATTCAATTACCATCGTATATTCATAATTTCATATCATACAATCCAAATAACCAAACAATTAAACACAAATAACAAGTTATAAAGTGAACTATTTGACAACCCTAACTAAACATTGGAATTCAAACAATTAACCATTAGAAAATTAGGATTTAAACAATTAACACTTTAAAAAAATTGGCACTTAAACAATTAAAAAAATAATAAGATTTAGGGTTTAGAGGGTTAATTTATAATTAGAAGTTACTTACTTTGAATTTGGGGAAAAATCAAAGACAAATTAATTGTTGGTGTACCGTCGCAATCAGCGTCGCCGGCGTCAGACACTCAGACGTGGTCTCCTCACTTCGTCAGTCAGTGACGTCACTCGTGTCTCGTGCCTCGAGCCTCGTGGTCCACTGGTCCGTGGAGTACAATTTTGGTCTAGAGGAATTGTAAAAGTCTTAATATTTTTTTTAAACTTTTTATGTTTGTCTTTTAGTATTTTTTATTCTTTATATTTTTTGTCTTATATGTGATGTGACTTAACTTCCTTACTTTTGCTGTCTTTTTGTTTGTGGATCAGTACAACTTGTACCTTGTGCGTGATTTGCAAGGCTTTTTTTTTTTAATAATAAAAAACTGATTTTTTTTCCAAAGTGGGGGGATAGTTGTCCCCCTCTCCCTCCGCCACTGCTTGAGACGTTTCAGTGCCTCAGGGCCATCTGTTGCTTTTGGGAGGTTTTTCAGACATTCCCAAAGTTCCTCTCCTGACATGATGTGAGGTGGTGAACCTTTTTCGACTTTGTTTTTACAAAATGCATTTTTACTATTTCAAAAAGGATGATTTTTCGGAAGGAATTGACGATGGCAATCAAACTAAGAAACCTTACCACCATTTTCGAGCCAAAATGCTTTGCTTTTCTCCATGCAATATGGACAAGCCTTCTTACCGGCTGTGGTCCAACCAGATAACATACCATAAGCCGGGAAGTCACTAACGGTCCATAGGATGGCTGCTCGAAGATTGAAATTTTGTTTTCTCGAAATATCGTAAGTATTTGCCCCAACTTCCCACAACTGTTTCAACTCGTGTATGAGCGGTTGCATGTAAACATCCAAGTTTCCCTTAGGGTTTTTAGGACCAGGAACGAGTAACGAAAGAAACATGAACTGTCTTTTCATACACATTGACGGAGGCAAGTTATAAGGGGTCAAAATGACAGGCCAACATGAATACTGTCCCCCAAACTGACCATGTGGAGCAAATCCATCCGTACATAGGCCAAGTCGAACATTACGAGGTTCAGAGGCAAACTCAGGAAAGCAACTATCTAGGTGTTTCCACGCTTCACTATCTCTAGGGTGTGCCATTGTGCCTTGAACTCGAGGATTTTTAGCAAGCCATTTCATTTCCTCAGAAATGTTTTTAGTTGCAAAAAGCCTTTGAAACCTAGGTGTGATAGGGAAATAAAATATAACATTCAAAGGCACTAAGCTACCTTTAGAAGTCTTCTTGTATCGGTCGCTGCCACACACCCTACATGTAGATAATTGAGCATCATCTTTCCAAAACAACATACATCCTTTCGGGTATGCATGAATCTTTTCATGGGGCAGCTCTAACCCCTTAACAATTTTCTTGACCTCATAGAATGTCTCGGCCATGTGGTTGTTGTTAGGAATCGCTTCATTAACCAAAGAAGCAAATCCATCAACACATCTGTGCGGAAAATTATACTCACACTTTAGGCTAGTGATTCTAGAAGCCATCTCTAACACAGACAATGAACTCCCTTCGTATAACGGTTGTTCAGAAGCCCTTAACAAATCAAAAAATGGCTTGGCTTGTGCATTAGGCTCCTCCTCTAATGAAACAGGTGGCTCTTCGGAATGGCCTTGATCTTGAGACTGACCAAAGGCATCCAAAACCATTTCACGATATTCATTTGACTGCCTTCTACGAATTCCTGGAAACCCTTCCCCATGACACATCCACTCATAGTAATTAGGTAAAAAACCGCTGCGATACAAATGAAGTTTGACCGTATCTGGATCCCAAAGACGTTTGTTTTTGCATCTAAAACATGGACACCTAACTTCATTCGGGTTGCTACTATCGGGATGATCTTCCACATATTTAAGGAATTCATCTACCCCCTTCAAGAACTCAGGATTAATAGAATTGTACATCCAGCTACGTTCTTTTCGTTTCATGATTACAAGTTCTACACAACTAACACATATGCCATTAATCACATTAGTCATAAAGCACAATATATATTCATTATAGATCAAACTGTTATGGAAATGCAAATGAGAAGAGAAATGATTTCCAACGGTCCTTATTACTCCAACCTAACCCATCCTTGTACGTTCAATCTCACTATTGAATGTATGCCAGAATTTCATTTCTATGGAAAATCCGGCAGCATCTCCCTACAGTTCCCCAAGTACACAATATAGGCGATTAGAAACACCTATATATGTACCTAGAGAACATTGTAGAGAAATTACAAGCAAGGATCTTCCTTAGAATTAAAACAAAGGAATACATTCACCACCTAAGTGAGAATAAACATACAAGGACAGTCCCAACCGGGGACTATTCAAGACATACTCCTAATGTGTATGCCTTGAACGGGTATCTAGCTATATTATTATGCAAATAATTTTTTTAAAAATATATATACTTAACTAACATACATAATATTAAACAAATATATCAAGATTAAACTAAACAAGAGAAACAAATCAAACCAAACCAAAGTAAACTAATATATCATATTAAACTAAACCAAACCAAACTACCGTTTTATATATTAAATTAAACTAACATATTTCTAAAAAACTAAACTAAATTAAGATACTTTATATTAAAATAAATTAAACTAAAACACATTATATTAACATAAAATTAACTAAAATACATTATGTTAAACTAAACTAAACCAAACTAACATTGTTTTTTTTTTAAAGAGAAGGGAGCAATTAATTAATTATAAGATTTATTTAAAAATATATATACTTAACTAACATACATAATATTAAACAAATATATCAAGATTAAACTAAACAAGAGAAAAATATCATGACACCATACTATTAATATAAACCAAATCAAACCAAACCAAAGTAAACTAATATATCATATTAAACTAAACCAAACCAAACTACCGTTTTCTCTAGTAGAAAAAAAGCATTAGGCACCCCCCATATGGCACCGGTTCAGCCTAAACCGGTGCCCAAAATCAGTCTAGAATTGGGCGGGTTTTTACCAAAAGAGAAAAGGCACCGGTTCAGCCTGAACCGGTGCCAAAAATAAAAAAGGCACCGGTTTGAACCGGTGCCATTCAAACCGTTGCCAAATTAAAAAAAAAACCGCGTCTTTTCCTCTTTTCTTCCTTTCTTTCTCTTTCCTTCCCTTCATTCGTTCATCCCTTCTTTCGTTCTCACTCAAAGTATTTGAAGTCGTGCCTCCACCTTTTCCCTCCACCACAGCCGCCACCTTCACCGGCGCTTTCAGGTGTCGAAAACCACCGCCATGAATTCTCCCTGCCCTGCCCTTCTTTGTCTTTCACGGCCGGCCTCCACCGCCTTTCTCTGTGCGAAACAAATAACAACAACAACAGCGTGCACCGCCTCCACCTCCACCAGCGCGCACCGCCTCCACCTCCACCTCCACCAGCGCGCACCGCCTCCACCTCCTGTCAACCTCCACCAGCGAGGGTCTTTTCATTCTCTCATCCCCTTAGCTTCTTCCACCTCCAACTAATTTAGGGTAAGTTCATCTTTTCAAGTTAATGAGTTCATCTTATTTTAGATTAAAATTGTGCTTAGATTGTATATGAAATGCGAAGAAAATTAATGGGTTCATCTTATTTTAGATTAAAATTGTGCTACATTGTTGGGATTAAAATTGTATGTTTGTGCTACATTGCTAGCTGTGAAATTTGTTTATGATGCCTTGTTTTGGGGAGTTTGGTTTTTGATAATTGAATTAGTTTAAGGATTTATTACTGAATTTTGTTGCTTGGATTCGATTTCAGCTGAATTCTGGCAAAGTTCTTGCTGTTGGACCTGGCCATCGTGACAAGACGGGGAATCATATTCCTGTTGCTGTCAAAGAAGGGGATACCGTGAATACGGAGGAACTACAGTGAAGCTTGGTGAAAAAGAGTGAGTTTATTTTTCTCCATGCACTTTTCTTTTTGTTCCAGATGGTGTTTTCTTAGTCAAATTATTGTGATTGAATGCTTTGACTCTTGATCCTCGATTGAATATATTAGTAATTTTGCATTACCTTGTTCCTTAGTTGACTTTTTGTATGTTTTAATGTGTATATTAGTGACCTTGCTTCTAATTAGTTGTGAATAAATTAGAAAATTGTGAATAAATTAGAGAATTGTGATTACACTATAGATTTGTGAATAATTTAGAGAATTATGATTAATTTAGAGAATTGCGCATAAATTAGAGAAATAGTGATATTGCCACTTAATTAGTTGTGAATAAATTAGAGAATTGTGAATACATTAGAGATTTGTGAATATATTAGAGAATTAGTGGCGTTGCTAATTTTTGTTTTTTTAATATATAGATTCATATGTGAATTGAAGCAAGAGTTTAATTAGCTTGAGGACTACATATTGAGCTCAAGTGGGTAGTTGCTATATTGGTATGACTACTAAACTTTACTTAGCTATATTTCTTTCTATTCATCCATTTAATAAAATTTTATTCATGAAATTGCAACTTGCGTATTGTTTAATTGCAAATAAATACAACAATATATAGAATACTTGAATTGCATCATCATATGCCTAGATACCCGTTCAAGGCTTTCTCATTAGGAGAAAGTCTTGAATATTCCCCGGTTGGGACTGTTCTTAAATGTGTACTCTCACTTAGGTGGTGAATGTATGTTTTCTTTTCGAT